CGAGGAATTGCCCAGAGAGTCTCTTGTCACTGGTAATTCAAAATAACAACGAAAACGAAATAGGGATAAACTGTTGACACAACGGTTCAGATTACGACGTAGATGATTTCAATGTTGCACCGAGGAATTCGCACATCTGAAATGTATTGTGACCTACCACAGCTCCAAGACTCATCGTAACACTTGTTTGAACCTTCAACTCCATTTAGGTGATTACACTGCCCATGAGTGGGTTGAGGAACACCAAAAGTACATTTTGAACAAGGATGTTGTGCTCGAAGTCGTTGTCGAGGTAAGGTGCCTTTCTCTCCTCTTAGAGAGATCATGATGCAACAACACGCGATCCAAATATGTTATAACCCACTGAAAAACTTTTGGTCTTTTTTTTTATTATTCTTTGTACAGTTGATGCCCTTTGGAGAGCGCGTTTACAGCCACAAGCTGGCTCCAAGTGGACGTTTCCAGTTCACCACAGCAGACGCTGGCCAACACGTCATCTGCCTTTTCACTTCGACCGCGGGATGGTTCAGTTCCACGAAGTTGGTATGAATCTATTTTTTTATTTCGTTTTTGTTCTGATACAGCTGATCTACATGAAATGCTCAAGCTAGATTGTTTCAAGAGAGTGTAATATATGAAGAAAAAGCTAATAATTTTTGTGGATGCTCTTTATTTGGTATTGTCATTGCTGCTGTTTAGAAAGTGGAATTGGCCATGGATATCAGCGACATGATGGAACACTCTGCTGATGTTCCTGAGGGTTCGCTTAGTGGTAAGACTGCTACGAGTTTATTCAGCATACTCAAAACAGCACAACTTGACTGACATTTGTTTTTCATGGTTCCTGATGTTGGTTCTTTTACTTTCTTTTCATTTTTCATCAGAGATGACTCTGCGCGTTCGTGAGTTGAACAACAAGGTTGGCGAGATTCGTCGCGAGCAGTGGTACCTTCGTGTAAGTTTTCTTTTCTTTTTTCTTTTTTTTTATGCTCCGTTTTGCTTCAGACTATGTCGTTTTATTACTCCTGTTTATTCATGTACCGTACTATTTTTCTCTCTCTTTCTGTCTTCACACACCGCCCGTTACACTTGAAAACACGAACGTCGCGCATTACATATCACAGGAACACGAGAAAAGCTTCCGTGACAAGAGCGAGGCGACTAACTCGCACACTGTTACCTGGACCATTGTCCAGTTGGTGATCTTGGGTGTGACCTGCGCGACCCAGCTTCGTTCTCTGCGCAAGTTCTTTGAGACCAAGAAGTTGGTTTAGAAATGCATTTAAAAAAAAAAAGTGACAAACGGCCAGCACTTGAGCTGCATACTAGAGAGAGAAACAAATAAGCAAATATGTCCGTACTGAAACGAACATACCATCCATGAATTCACTCATTTTTTCTCCATGTTTTTTTTTTTTTTTTTTTTGGGACCTCTTGACAACTGTTGTAATCTTCATGCCATTTGCATGTTGTCCTCTTGAAAAGCTAAAACACGTGAATCTCGTGATTTGATGCGAAGATTGGTCTGGCAACAACTCTAATAAGTTTGAGCTACCGGTCGAAGCTTGTCAATTGGTGCAAATTGCCAGCACTGCCGTCGTAGTCCAGTGGAAGGACGTTGGTCTCCGAAGCCAAAGGTCGCGGGTTCGACCCCTGCCGTCGGCGCATAAGTCTGTTGGGCATTCATTTTTACATCTTTATGTTGTATTTCCTTTTTTTTTGTTACCGCATGCTTTTTTCGCGTCTTGCCGTCATACACACAAGTCTATCCTGTATTCTTTTTTTGAACTCTTAAACGTCTTTGCAAGGTCGATCCAATCAGTCCTTCGAACTTCATATTGATATGAAGGAAACGGGTAATACGTGCATCATTTTAATGTAGAGTGTCAATATTGTACAAGTTTGAAAAGGTTCTCTCATAATTTAGCCGCCGCTCACAGGGGGAATGATAGCGATCTCATCGCCTGGTTGTACTGTCCATGAGAGATCGTCATCCATATATTCCATGTTGACGGCGTACATGGAGGTTTTAAGGATATAATCAAGACTAGGATGCCTTTCAAGTAACCGCTGAGTCAGAACCGAGGCTGTGATCCCAGCTGACCATTCGAACGAGTCCACATCTGTTTTGGAGGCATCTTTGGCCGCTGCAAAGTAGAGGACAGTGAACTGTTATTTTTTAAAAAGAGGTGGGTTGTGAGTGACAAGAAGAAAAAGAAGGAATTAAAATGAGTTTCATGAGGGGAGAAGTTCTTTCCATGGTGAAGCGAATTCGATGGTTGGTTCTTTACCTTTTGTGTCATGATGTTGGTGATTTCAATGTATGGTGTCGATGAGAAGTTTAGGTGTAAAGTGTGTGGAGAAAAGGAATGGATGGATGGGAAAATAAGGTCCACCAAAAAAAAAAAAAAGTGGGTATGACCCCACTTGCTCATTATTTCCCCACCTCTTTTGCTGCTTTCAGCAACGGGCTGCGCTTCGCCGATCACAGGAAGGTGTCCTAAAGGTCACCTGACCAGAATCTCGAATGGGTTTGTTTGATCCGGAGGTCAATTATTTATTTTGTTTTTTTAATTGTGATCTGCATACGAAACCAACTTCATCCATACCGTGAACCATGTTGCATTTACTCGGAGTCAACTTGCCAGACCAGAAGCTGGTTGTATGTTATTGTTTGCTTGTTGTTTGTTGTTACTACTGCCTGTGTTAGTCTATTCGTTGTTGTGATTCCAAACCCCCCTCCTTTTCGACCATAAACCAACATGAAGCATAGGCGAGGAATTTTTACTTTGGAGCAAAACAAAAACACAGACACAGAGCTTTATATTCAGGAACAGTTTTTTCGTTCCGATGGACGTTACATCAGTGGTTGCATTCCTCAGGATCCAATGAAACTGGACAAGCGTCAAGGCATTGAAGACGAAGAAGTCAAAAGACACTGCCATGTCAGGATTGAAGGACAGGAAACTCTAGGAACTGAAAGGGTCAAGACAAAAACTTGGACTTCAACTTTTCTTGTTTTACGGATATGATGAGAAGGATTGTTTTTTCCTTTATCAGCCACATGGAAAAATCCAGCACCCTACAATGTCGACATGGATGTCCCAGCCTATTCTCCTTTACTTTCATCTTGTCTATCGTGTACGCTTCTCTCAACTCACACCACCAGAAAAAATCATTCGATAAAAAAATACCAATTTTATTATTCTTAGCAATATGCCCTCCCTCTGTTCTACGGCATTGGTCAAAAGACAGCCGTGAAGGTGTTGGCAGCGCTATCGATCCACAAGACTTGCAAGATTGCAGATTTGTCTGATACCCAAGTCAACCAGTTGTCTTCCTTGTTGTCGGATATGAAGATCGAGTCGGATTTGCGTAAACAGATTCGTGCCAATATTATGCACCACCGTTCGATTGGTTCATATGTCGGTCGTCGCCATGCGATGGGTTTGCCTGTTCGTGGACAAAACACAAGGAACAATGCCATGACAGCCCGTCGTTTGAATGGTCGCTGGCTCAAGGCTGAGAAGCGCGAGTACTCTTCATCAACAAGGTAACCAACAAAAAAAAAAATAAAAAAAAAAAGACTGAGGTTCTACCACAGGAGCCTTTCTTGAATAGAATTGTTGTTAAAAATTCGATTCAACGGAAGATGCTAACCTAATGCGACGTTCTCTTTATTTTTTTCTTCATAGCTCGATTCTTCCTAAGGCAGACTCTCCCTTTGAAAGCTTTTTCAACCGCAAGTGGTTCTAATTCTCTTTGGAGAATGAGATCTTTCAAACCTTTTTTTTTCGAGAAAAAGAAATGTAGACCACTAGCACTAGACATTCTCTGTTTTCCTCTCTCTCTCTCACACACACACACAAACACACTCTCTCTCTTACACACATTCTGTTCTCAATGTATACATATTTCTTATAACTTTTTTTGCATTTTTTCATTTTTTCATTTTTTCCTCCTCAGGTTTCAACATTGTCATGTTCGTGCTCAAGATTTTCAAAATGAAATTAAGGGTGTTTATATTTTGTCTATGGACGTCGAGCAGAACTACGCTTGGGAATCGCGGGAGGCGGAGAGAAGGCTCGAGTAGGTGATAAGACTACCTCCTCATTATGAGAGTTATGCGGACGACTGCTGCTACGAACTGGCACAACCAATGGTTCAACTATCGTTTCTCCTCGTCCTCCGCTTTTGCCTCGTCGTCTTCCTCTCTCTGTAGGACTGTTGGGAGCCTCGTCACCCGAACGACAGTTGGTCGTTGTTGTTGTCGTCGTTATTGGAGTCATGGGTGGTTTACGACCACGAGTAAAGAGAATCTCGGGCGGGATAGGCGCTGCGGAAAGGTCATCTGAATTATAAAAGCCCTTTGGACTTTGTGGGGAGGCAGGGGTAGGAGAGCGCGGTGAAGGGGTAGAGCCAGGGCCAGAGAAATCAATCATAGAGGTATAGGCTGCTAGAATGTCGGGAGACGGTGGAGGCTTGTGGGGCGAGACAATGAGGGTTGTTTGGTAGGGTGCGCCGTGACGTTCTGAAGGCTGGGAGTGGTAATAGTAATTGTCATGATGATGATGAAGATGATGGTTATGAGAAGGTATAGGTGGAGGTAGAGGACGTTGTTCTCGGGTCTTGATGGTCAGCTTGGGTCTCTGTTCGACTGTGGCGAATTCATCATGACGGACACCATGGTCTGTAGGGGATGGCAACGAGGTAGGTGTAGAAGTGGATGAAGGCCACGAAGGCCACGGCTCTAAACCGTTTGTAACCTTTTGGGCAAACGCTTGATGATGCATTTCCTCACTATTAAAATATGGACGCGAATGTGGTGGTGGGATTGAAGGTGGCTGTTGTAGGGCGGGCACAGAAACAGATTCAGGTTCAGGTACAGGTTCAGGTACAGGTACAGGTGCTTGGATAGGTGCTGTCGTCTTTTTTGTCATATTCTTGTCTAGGTTTGGGTCACGGTAGTAGATGGGTTCGCGTGCATCCTGGATACGGATCGAGACTTTTCGGACCGGGCGTCCATACTCGCCCGAGGTCTTGCTAGAGTTGCCCTGAGGGATAGTGTTGTTGTTATTATTGTTGGTGTTGGGGGTCAAGATATCCAAGGAAGCAGCTCGCGAAGACGTGGAACGCGCCTGCTTGCCGCCGTAGCGATAGCTCTCGGCTTGAACACCACTCGTCTTAGTCGAAGGATTTCCAGAGCCACTACCGCTGCCGTCAGCGTTACCATGAGAACCAACAGTATATCCAGTAGCGTTCGTGCCAGCTAGAACATCCCGACTGTCATAAGAACTCTGGTCGAGGAGAATATCCTCAGAATAGAAACCATCATTCTGTGATGGTATTGTAGTTGCTCCATTATGAGGGCGATACTGTGGTCGAATATGATTTTGCGTTTGATGCTGAGACTCTGCATTTGTATCCCCTTGTTGTTGTTGCTGCTGTTGCTGTTGTTGATGAATGCGCGCTCGGTTCCTATCTCGTGTCTCCTTTGAGATATCTCCCATAATAAACACCGTAGCGTCCTTGGGTCCCCATAGTCGTACGTGAAGATCCTGCCAGAGCTCGAGTTTGGTGCCAAAGATGATGATGATGATGATACCAAGCACGGCCGGGAGCATATCTGACAGCGCAGCCCATGTGAAATCGGGCACGAATGGGGCTGCGATCGCTGCGCAGGCCTGTTGTGCTGTCTCACCTGCGATCTTGAACTCGTCTGGGGACATTGTCAATGGTAGTGAGGGTGGTGCTCCAGGGTCGGATGACGAGGGTGTATTCCCTGACCGGAGTGAGAACAACACGGCTTGTTCGCCGAGACACATTGTCCAGCGCAAGAACCATTCAGTGTTAGGTCCAATAGCCATGAGTTTTCTAGCTTCCAGAAAGTAAAAAAGCCAGTAAATCATGTCGATGATAAGGAGGCAAAGAGCCAAGAAGCCTGGACGCCATTGTTGCTTGAGTAATTGAGAAATCTCGCGTGCAGTTTGGAGGCGACGTTGTCGCGTGGATTGAGTCTTGTTGCTGTGCGAGTCGCTTGGGTTATAGGAATTTGAGTCTCCAACAGAGGAAGAGTTGGATTGGATGCTTGACTAATGTAGGTAGGTGTTATATAACGTTTGGTATTAGAAAAATGAATCACCCTTTTCTTATGACATCTGCGTTGATAGACGCGTTCAATTAGCGCCTTTTTTTTTCTTTACCCGTATCATGTAGGCAATCGTCCAAAGATGTAACAAGGTTGCAAGGCAAACAATGATCGAGAGTGGATAGAAAAAGAATGGACTTGCGACCTCAGGACTGACAAAACAGATGGAGCCAAAACCCGGGTTCTGAATCTGTCTACGGACCGAGACTGGGACAACAAGGGCAAGTGGTAAAAAAAAGGAGAGTACCATCAACTTGCCCAAATGGGATTGAATGAGCGTACTCCGGTGTACTGTGAGCACATGAAGGTTTGCAATGAGTAATGTTGCCAAGCAGAGTAGAGTCAAGACAATATACATGAGAGAGATTCCTAATAGGATTGATGATATATACAATTCGTGTTAAATCCATGAATTCTCACTCTTTAGCCAAATGAAATATAAACCACCAGGGTGGGGGGAGGAGCTACCTTGAACACCACAAAACCACGAGTTGGCCATAGTAGCAATCTCATATGG